GGCCCAAGTGGTAGACTGCTAGCCTAGCATTGAGCAAAAAAAGACACAGCACCCAGGGCCTGAGTTCAAGCCCCAGGACTGGCACAATTAAAAAATAACACATGAGGCTTAGGCTTTACAATTCTGTCTTCTCTCTCCTCAACATGCCTTTGGTGGCTCAGATTACCAGGAAAACAGCTTCTTGCTTTCAGGAAGCTTACAGTAGGGGCACACCATCCACTAACCCTAGCTCTTCAGTGAGCACTCAAACAAACCATAGAATTGTAAAATAGCACCTACACTGTACATAGAGAAAGCTGGCAGAGTGCACAGGATCCTGCGGGTGCTATATAAATGTCGTGGTGATGGAAATGAAGAAGACAGCTGTTAGCGCTGCAGTGCTCCTGTCGTGACCTCACTTCCAAGCCTAAGGCCCCATTTGTGAGGCTGCTTCTGACTCAGGCCAGTACTCCAGCTATTATTTCAGGGACGAAAGGAAGAGAGTGACTCATGGCAGCCTAGTAGAGCTCTTGGCTGGCCCCTACCAGCTGGAGAGAAGAGGCCCCAAGGCAAAGGGAAATCTGAGCCCACAGGGCCCAGCTGCTGGGCCTGTGCTTTTCATAGGCATCTTGATCATTAGCACTAGCCAAGCAGCCTGGGGAAAGTAAAGCCTAGGGCCTCTGGGGATCATGTCCCCAACTGAACTCAGGTGAAGAAGTTACTCCCCTGGTCTCATGCAGGTGAAAAGTGGGCAAATGTTTGCTACCAGGGCTATACTTCAACCTGCTCCAGCATAGGCGAGAACTCTGGCCTGTTTCTCTGACACCCAGACCTCCCATGGGTGCCTCAGGACTTCAAGTCATTTACCCATTTCCATGTGGTGCTCAGTTCCAGCTTTACAATAAGGAGGCCAGATACTAGTTGCAAAAATGGCCAAGTGCACAAACGTGGCATTGCATGGAACAGAACACAAGCAGCCACAGTCCCCTGAGGGGCCAAGTTCAATATCACAATGAAAGAAATACACATTCAAATAATCCAGATGACAAATTTATTGATGAACAAACAAAAAGGTAAAAAAAAACACAAGTTATCTGGATATGGGAAACCAGTTGTTCACACACAATGACAGTGAGTGTGTAAATCAGTAGTCTTTCTAGAAGGCCGTTCCAGAAATGTGTTGACCAAATGCCTGCACAGATCCTTTGATGGAGCAATTTCACTTCTAGGAATTTCAATGAAGGAAAGAACAAATATGCATTTCAGCATTGCATATGATAACAAAAAATTGCAAACAACTTAAATGAGTAACATGAGACTGGGTAAATAGATAAATACATGCTGATTCAACATTCAATGAGATACTACATAACCATTAAGATAGTATGATACAGAGTAGAATATTTACTGATGGGAGAGATATTCATGACACACTGTCTGGAGGACCAAACTAAAGCAGGTTACAAAGATTTCAAATCACAGCTTAGTATATAAAGAAAAGAAATGGACTATATGAATAGGAAAGACAAAAGTCTTGGAAAAAAATATATATATGAAAACAGTGCCTATCCTAAAAATACTACATATTTCAAACTTTTCCTTAATGCTTGGCTATATTTGCAAACAATTTTGTGATTATTTTAAAATAAGAATTAGGACTAGGTGATTTATAAAGTTCTTTCCATCACTGACATCTTGGGCATATTTGTCTAATATCTCAAGTGCCCAAGTGACTTCATACAAGCAGAATTTACTGGGGGCTTACCAATGCCTTGGGAGCATCAGCTTTTTCCCCACAGCTGCAACCCTCTGCATTCCTCTCTTCACAGTTGCTGCCCAGCTGTCTCCCCTGCCAGCCTGGGAGCTTCTGCTTGGCAAGGCCCAGCCGTACCCCTGTCTGTAGTTCATGTGCCCAGCCAAGAGCTGAGCAAAAGAACAGGCTTCCACACAGACATGTGGGCACAAAGATATAGATATAATTCTAGCTTCCAGAATCTTATGGACACAGGACTCACTAAAAGTGTCTAACAGGCTATGAAAATCAGGAGACAAAGCAGGGCAAGCCAAGCAGGAAGGCCTACTTGAAGAGAAAGCCATGCAGGACCGGTGGGCAAAGAAAGGCCCATCACCTAAGCAAAGGTGAAAATAGCCCAAAGTCCTTTGGAATACATGATTTAAACCTTTCCAAGAAACTTTCACAATCCCAATTCCACTAAATTTTCTGCCCTTCGGCCCTAGTGACTAGAAGTTAAGTCTCCTAAACACAGTTCTTTCACTAACACCGTGTTAGTCACCAAAGACAACAAAATCTTTTAGACAGAGACAGTCTATTTTCCCACCAGCGACCTCCCAATGGGAGGGATGGAGGAAGGAAGGGTCACAGGAGGGCTGTAGGGAAGAAGGGACTGCAGGAACAGATATATCACATGCAAACACAGCTCACCCCACACTTGGGCTTCCGCGGCACCACCAGCCCCTATTTGACAGATGGAGGAAGCAGGTTCCAGGAGTTAAAATGGCTTGCGGCAGGCTCACTCAGCTAGCGGGTGGGGAAAGCGACTCCACTCAGGCCTTCTGACTCCAAGTCCAGTGCTATTTCGAGGTAACACACAGGACCTGGAGTCAGGAGCCCTGGGTGGCTCTGTCACCCCCTGGCTGAGTGATCCTGCACAAGCCGATCACCCCTGGAAGCCTCTGGCTCCAACTGTAAAATGAGGAGGCACGAGATGGCCCGCCCAGGTCCTTTTTGGGCTCCGCTCTCAAAGCCTTCTAGGGGTGGCTACAAAGCTCGGCCTATCAATTACATTTCCCAAGTTGGGCTTTCAAAGATCACCAGAGCTTCCGCCTGTCACGTGGTTAGGTTAAGGGGGGGGGGGAAAGCAAACGTCCCAGATTAACTTTCACTACACAGCTTCTCCTGACACCTGATTACCCAATTGTCTAGTTTGCCTGGGTGAAATTGCCCCCGCGTAGCAGGCTAAGCTGGCGGCTCAAAGGACAAATAATTCATTACTGGTGGATCAAACAGTGTCCAAAAGAGACAATTCTCGATAGAAGCGTTTCTGAACGGCTCTCCCTGGCTATTTCCGGCCTCCCACGCAGGCGACCCCAGGCCACTAAAAAAGTGAAAGAAGGGGAGGGGGGGCACTGTCTTCCCAGGAGCCACTCTACCCTTCCCTCCCCAGCCCAGTCCCCGGGTCCCCAGGCGCTGCGCCCTGGCGTACCGGGGCGGGGACCTTCCCTGGGCGCTGACACCCGCGCCGGGCGTGTGACGGAGCCCGGCGACCTCGGCGGGAGCTCCACCGCAGTTTCGTCAGAGGTAAAGGTACGCGCCCGGCGCGCGCGGCGTGTGCACACGCCGACACCCGCGCGCGCAGCCCCGCAGCCCGCTCGTCCCACAGTGCCCCCCGCCTGGAGACGCACGATCCCCAGCCACCGGCTCCTCGGGCCTCGGCTGCGAGACCCTTGGAGCGCGCCCACCCCGCCCGCCCGCCACCGACCGCACGGCCCCGCGGCTCCCCGACGCAGAGGCGTCCGCAGTGGGTTCGGGGCGGCCGACTCCCGCGCGGGGCGGGCTTCCTCTCCGCGACACACCGCTACGCCGTGCCGTCCCGGCCGCCAGCCCTGAAGTCACCACCCGGAGTCTTCTCAGAGCTGCGCGGGAGGCTCGGGGCGGCGGCGTCCCCGGGCGAGCCGCGTCGCGCCGCAAGGAGTCGGCGTGCAAGCCTCTCCCCGCCCACCCGGTCTCATGACAGCTGCCGCCGCCCGGAGACGGGCAGGTCGAACGCGGAGCAAAGTTTCCCTCTCCCCTCCCACTCCCGGCCCCTCCGCCTCCCCCTCCCGCCCAGCGTTATGCAAAACGGGCCGGCACCCGCACTCCCAGTCCCCGTACCGATCGGCCCCCCGCACGCCCCGTGGGGTTCCGCCCCGCGGCTCCAGTCCGCACCCCGCCGCGGCCCCGCACCCGCGGTCTCCCCCTAGGCTCCGCCGCGTCCGCAGCCGGCCGGTGCCTCGCAGCCGGGCGCTCGGAGCGAAAGCTCGTAACTCCAGGGCCAAACTTTATGCTCGCAACAGGCGCAGGGTGGGGGAGATGGGGAGCGGGAGGGGGCGCACGCCCGGGGCCGGCGTTCCCCGTTAGGGCTCGTCCCGGCAGCACCCCCCTCCGGGTCTCCGAGCGACCGGCTTCCTCGCCCTCGCCTCCGTCCCCCGGCACACCAGAGCCACCTCTCCTGTCACGCGCGTGCGGCCGGCCGGGCTCCCGGCTCGGCCCGACCCCGGACGCCGCCTAGCCTTCCCTTCCCCCCGCGTCGTGGAGCGCGCGCCGGGGCCGCGCGCCGCAGGGGGACCCGGGCACCCCCGGATCGTCCTTCCGTCCCCAGCCTGCCTCGCTTTCCCCCTGGGGAGCTCCTCGGGAGAGCGAAACCAGGAAGGCGCTGCCTCCGCCGGGGACGTCCACGTGCCCCGCAAACCCCTCCGCCCCTAGCGGGCCGCTGGCTGGAAACTCGGGGCTGCGGGTGCCGGTGGGGAGCTGCGGGGGGCGACAGCATCGTTTGGGGGGGGGGTCGAGGAGACTCCGGGCATGGGGGGCAGGCGCCGGTCCCGCGGCCACAAGTCCACGTGAAAGTACGGCAGCAAGTACCCGGCGCTGAGGGCGCGCCTACAGCACCCAGGGCCAGCCTGAGGGCCCCCCACTCCTCGACGCCGCTCCGTCTCCCCCAAAACAAGCGCGGCACCCCCAGCTCTGCCCGCGGGGCAGCGCCGACTTCAGGTGGCCGCGGCTAGACCCTGCCCGGCGGCGCGGTGTCTCCAGGGCTGCGGCCGCGCTTCGGGGACCTCCGGCTCCCTCGCCCCGTCTCGGGGCGCAGCGCCAGGCACGCGTCAGGGGGGGCTCAGCAGCCTGGAACCCCGATCTCCCCCGCGTGCCCACCGCGGCGTCCCAACCTCCGCAACTGCGGCTGCAGCTCGGCAGCTCAGCCATCTCGGCACGCTGGCCCCGGGCCTGCGACCCCGACCGGCCGTACCTGCGTGTCTGCCAGATAGTTGAGGAAGAAGGAGGAGAGCTCCTCGTCCAGCAGCGCGCCGCAGTCGTTCCCCGCCATCTTCCAGCCGCGGCTGCAGCGTGCGGCGGAGTCAGCGCCGAGCCGGCCCGGGGGAGGGAGCGAGCGAGCGGGGAGGGAGGAGGGAGGAGGCGGCGGGGC